GAAATTTCACTTATACTCTATTTATTTGTTTACAGGGTATGCCAGAAGCATGGGCTCGCTTGCTTATGAATTCAAACATAAGCAAACAGGAACAAAAGAAAAATCCACAAGCTGTGTTAGATGTTCTCAAGTGGTATGATAATACAACCAAGCAGAGAGCAAGTTCAAAATACATGACAAATGCTATAACAACGCATTCTGGTAATATAACCGCACATATCTTTTTAATTATTTATATTGTGCATTATTAACGACTGTTTACAGGTTCTTCACTATCGCACGTTAGCAGCAGCAGTCCTAGTAGCACACCAACTGATTCAGAGTTACATGGTTCCAACAGTGGAGGTAATTTGATTGGTGTCAACATAAATAATCTTACTTTAGGCAATAATGCCAATAATATACCAGCAACTGGTGGCATTGGTAGCCCTCATATCGGTAATAATTATGGAAATCATCATCATACCGCACTTAGTCAATCACATTCATATAATTTTGTTGGTGGCAATACAGCCTCCTCTTCATCACAACATTCGTCAGCCAATGAAGATGATATTTTAGGTACACCACAACCGCCACCACCGCCAGTTGCATCACGACCAGAACGCACGAAATCCATTTATACACGACCTATAGAAGAGGTAACACCAACGATACCGCCACCACCTGCTACAACACCTACAACACCACTGCATCAACAATTGCAGCAACAGCATCTTAACAATATAGCGCAACCACAATATAAAGCTCCAACAATAACAACAACCACAACTTTAGATAAGAACAAAAATAACGCAAGTAAATATCGTTTCTTATTATGTAGATTTTCTTTGTATTTTAATTGATATTTATACTAACGTTAATATTATTAATTATTGTATAACGTATTTTGCTAACAATAACGACAATTTTATTGTTGCATCGTCTGCAGCAGCAGCAACAGCATCATGTGTTGTCTCTGCGCCGCAACCGCATCCGCACGCTTTTAACGCCGCAGCAACTGCTGCAGCAGATTCCATTTGTACCATACCTAATATTACTACCACTACTAACTATGACACAACTAACTTCACTCTTACTACTACTACTACTACGACTACTACCACTACTAATAATTCTACTACTAGTATTCATTTGCAATTTATCGATTTTAATGCAACGACGACTAATCACGACTCTTCTGCTTCCTCCTTTTCATCGTTTCCATCGTATCACGACGACTCCTCTACATTACCACCAATTTATTGTCCATCGTTGTCTTCCTCCATTATTGAATCTGTCGCACTGCCGACACCACCATTGCCTACGCCAACCACAACCACAACTACAACCATTTCTCCGGCAACACCAACTGTGACCGTTGATGTAAATATCGAACCTCCTGCTGACTCAATTACAACAGATATATACACGCACGACGGTAGCGCAAATAATTTAACAGCTTCTGCAGTCACACCTCCAACAGCAACAACTGCAAATTCTACAACTCAAGCTACTCAGCCGATTGCGACACCGCCTACTGCCGCAGCAGGAGTAGCCCAACAACGTTCGGGCACAGCGAAAAAGAAGAAAATGTCCGACGAGGAAATTCTTGAAAAATTACGAACTATTGTTTCTGTCGGTGATCCAAATCGTAAATATACAAAAATGGAGAAAATTGGTCAAGGAGCATCTGGTACGGTATATACAGCAATTGAAGCTTCTACGGGTATGGAAGTAGCAATTAAACAAATGAACCTATCACAACAACCGAAGAAAGAGCTTATAATTAATGAAATATTAGTGATGCGAGAAAATAAGCATCCAAATGTTGTTAACTACCTCGACAGCTATTTGGTGTCTGAAGAACTTTGGGTTGTTATGGAGTATTTACCAGGCGGTTCATTAACAGATGTTGTTACGGAAACCTGTATGGATGAAGGCCAAATTGCAGCTGTATGCCGTGAAGTATTACAAGCATTAGAATTTCTACACTCCAATCAAGTTATTCATCGCGACATTAAAAGTGATAATATTTTACTCGGTCTTGACGGATCAGTAAAATTGACTGATTTCGGTTTCTGCGCGCAGATCTCACCAGAGCAATCAAAACGCACAACAATGGTCGGCACACCATACTGGATGGCACCTGAAGTAGTGACACGCAAACAATATGGACCAAAGGTATGTAAATAAGAACACTTATACAAGTACCATATATATCTCTCAACATAAAAAGAAAAGGAAATATATTATTATATTAATATTATAAGTGTAAATCTCTAATTAAAAACTGCAGTTTATGATAAACTTTAAATTCCATTTCTTGCTCCACTTACTGTTATCTTAAATATCCTATCCTACCTTAATTATTTAAAGATAATTGTCGATGATTGTTAAGTATGCAGTTTAAAAAAGATAATCCATCATTATTATTAAAATATTTTATGTAATACCGTCAAGTTTACGATAGCTTTTATGGTAGTGGTTAGACATGTTTCTATAAGCCCGAAAGATGTACCCAAAAATCCTATCAAAATAAATAAAAATCTTTTATAATAAATATAAAAAAATAAATAAAAAAGGAGGTCTCTAAACAAAAATCCAGTTTTAGAGATCTTGCGTTATATGAACGTTTGCATGTAGACTAGACCTTTCTCATCACTACTACCGATGACGTTTAAGTTTGATGACATATATTGTCGTTTTAATTTTTAAGTTTAGAAATTTCTAATGTTGTGTTTATACGTCTTCAGTTGGTATAAAATACTTAACATTTTTAACCATTTTTACGAAAAACTGTCGTACTTAAAATGCTAAGCTTATTGTTGGTGCCCTGATTGTTTCTTTTCACTTGACCTATTTGATAAAATCAATTTGTTATACAATCATCTGATGTTTAAGAATATTAACGTATAATTTTTTCTTTAAAGGTCGATTTGTGGTCACTCGGTATCATGGCTATTGAAATGGTTGAAGGAGAGCCACCTTATCTCAACGAAAATCCACTTAAAGCATTGTACCTTATTGCCACAAATGGCAAGCCTGAAATTAAGGAAAAAGAAAAACTTTCCATTGTATTTCAAGATTTTTTAAATCAATGCTTGGAAGTTGATGTTGAACGTCGTTCCGGTGCTGCGGAGTTACTGAAGGTATTTTTTAAATAATTATATAGAAAATATATATGAGGTCTCATACATTTTCTGTTATTTTTAGCATCCTTTTCTTAAACTAGCACGTCCATTAGCCAGTCTGACGCCGCTAATTATGGCCGCAAAAGAAGCCACTAAAGGAAACTGATTAAAAACATAAAATAAGGATATAAAACTACTTAAAAGCTGATATGGAAGATAATAAACAACTTTATACACATAATTATATATAAAAACATATATACGTTTACAAATATTTATATATATAAATAAAAGAGTATATATATGAACGAAATATATATTGCAGAAAAAAATAAGAATTTAAATTAAAAATTCCTAACTGAACTGTTAGGAATGAAAAATTCGCAACATACAAAACGAAAAGAAATAAATTATTTTCGCTAAATTTAAATTATAATTAATTAATTAATTTTGTATTCAACAAAAACTTAATTTTCTATAAACCAAACAAGCAATTTTAATTGCTTGATTTAAAAGTAAAATAAGCACACTATAAAAAATGCTTTTTTATCCAAACTTAAGTTTACCAAAACTAATTATAAAAATCAAATTTATATAATAAAATAGCATTTTAAATGCTTCAATGAATAATGCAAAAATTAAGTTGAAAATAAAATATTTTATATACGTATTAACAAAATATTTAACTATGTTTAATATAATTTAAAAATATTATTTCAAATTCTTATGCTTTAAATTTTAAAAAATAAATGACCTTAAAGTAATTTGAAAGCTTAAAGATATTTGCTTTACACATAATAGCGTACTGGAGAATATATTTAATATTGTCTTATTTATTATAATTTTTTTATTTGCTAACTTTAGTATTATAAATTAATAAAAAATATATTTAAAAAATTAAAGTAAATTTCGTTTTGATTTATTTTTTTAACGTAACAGAAATAACTATATATAGCTTTTATATCATTTTTTAGTTTATTTCACACATTAAACCTATAATTCATTTTCACTTTATAAAGTGTTTATTTTATGTTCATTATATTAGTTCAAATAGTTATTTGGGTTAATTTCAAATATTGTTGTTCAAACTATGAGAAATAAGTAAACTAATGATTCGTTTAAACATAGAAAATAAATATAGCCGAAAATATGATTTAAAATTAAAAAAAAATATCAACATACAATACAATATTACAATATAATGCAAACACAAAAATAGTTAATAACTAACATTAGATATAATTAAATAGTGATATATGTAGTTTAGTTGTAAAGTATTTTTCCAATTAAATTAAATAATGTATACAAAATTTCAAAATTGTAAAAATAGAAATAAACAATTTAAATTAGCCAAGTTACTTTAATTTCATTTACTTTATACTTATAATGTTACGAATAATTGAAATGTATTGTAATTAAACTCGTAAAATGTTTTGATCGATATGCGGGCGTAAGATAAATAATAAATTAATAAATTTTATATATTATATATTATATTAACATTTCCTTCCATGTCAAGCCACCTTTTGAAACTCTTAAGCCCAAATATATGACAAATTATACATAAATATCGTTGAGAATAATTATAATTCTTATAAGAACATAACGAAAACATTTCATGATATTGAAAGTTACTTGGCTGTTCAAATATATACAAAAACAAAAAGAAAAAAAAAGAATGATATGAATAATAAAAAGGAAATCATACTTTGTGCCTAACAAAAAATATTTAGAAAATTTAAGAACAGCGTTAAACTAAAAAAATTGCAATAGTTTTAAATGAAAAATTGCAATATTTTTAATTCTGTGGAATAAAAGCAACAAAAACAAACTAATTTATTTATAATTATAATAAGAAAATATAATTTTAATTTTTTACGTTATCTTATATATCAATTTAATTTTTCATAGGGTTGTGTCCTACAACATATATATTATTATAATAAAAATAATTCGAAAAATTATTTAACATCTCTTCATGCTTTTTTTATCAATTATTTACGTTTGTTACTTTTTTTTTATTTTTTTAAATTCATTAATTAATTGTATTTCTTTTTTATATAAATAAATTCTTTATTTATATTATTATTAATGACATTTTTGCTGCCCAAACAGGAAGTTTAAACGTTGGAACCTTTAAAATATAAAAAGTATGTACTCGGACTTTCTTAATTTTTTTTATATTGAGGTGATTAAAAATTTAATTTTTTATACAAGTGAAGAAATTGTTTGTGAAACGCAAATAATATTTATTAGTTATTTTTTTTTTTGGTTTTTATTATTTCTTTTATTACTTTTAGTATAAAATTAATCAAAATAAAAATTATGTTTTCATGTATATTATTTCAAAATATTTATATAAAATCGATTGCTTCTTATACATATACAATAACTCGTATTTTTTATGGTTTATCAGTTCATATTATTAATTAATTTGAACAAAACTTAAGTAAAATAAGCACTTTTAGTTAATTTTATATTTGTAATATGCAAACACTTTCTTGGCGAATTTTTAATAGTTAATTTTTTTTATTATTCAATGCAATAATCGATAAAAAGCATTGAAACTACAGTGGGACAAAAAAAATCTGATTAATTAATTTATTTTATATCGTTTTCAATACAATTTAGTTAAACTTTTGTAATTTACATACATTTTCATTAAACTAAATAACAAAACTATTGAGGAAAAAACGAAATTATTGGAATTATATACACAATAAATGTATATAAAAGACATCAATTAGTAAGACAAAACGAAATATATACATATATATTTACCAATAGAGCATATTGTGTAATACAATACAATTATTATAATAGAAAGTATAAAATTAATTAATATTTATAAAATTATTATATTATAATAAAAAAGAAAAGGTAAATAAAAATGAAAAGAAAAATTTAAAAAATTTTTTTTTGGTGTTGAAAGACGTAATACCTTATACTTAAGCCCAACAAAATATATCTACATATGCTTCAGATTTGTTTGAAATTCAGAATGTGTCATTAATCAATATTTCTCCTAATTCGGTCATTAATCTGCATAGGTATTATTACTATATAATTTCTATATAATGGAGCAGAATATATGCCTATTATATAGGAATAACTTTTAAGGTCACCATTTAAAAAAAAAATCTTTTTAAATCGAATTTTTAGTTTCAAGTCGCTGTAGCGATCTGTACGAGCGGAATATAAGCTATAACATTTTATTTAGGGCTGCCAAGCATACACAAAAATTAATCGAATAAATAATTCACTTAAATTTTTTCCAAACGCATTATATATTCTGACATTCTTAACATTTAATATATTTTAACATTTTAAAAAAATTTTAAACAAACTCTATAAAATATATCAAAATTGTCAATTTTAATAGTCGATATCTCAGTAATCTTGCAAATAAGCAAAAAACTATTAATGAATTAGGACATTTTCACAATTACATAGAATTTATAATGTTAATTTTTTCTCGACGAGAGTGACGCGTCTTTATGACGAAAAGAAATTAAAAGTTAGACGGATTGGCTTAGAACTCGTTCCTGTCACATTAGAAGCGATGACTAATCATGTTTTTCCACAAGTAGACAAAACTGCACAATGGTCAAGTTCTATGTTAGGTGTTTTGTCACATTTTACTTTTTAAGTAACACTAACCAAAGCAATTGCCGTGCTTTTGAATTAGAACGATCTTATAAGTAGAATTTATACAGTGAAATTCCCCTAACTCGAATCATCAAGGAGACGGAGAGACTTTTTACCACTCTGCTTTTAATTTCCAAGGTTTTTAATGATTTGAATATATACACATCACATTTTTATTTAAAATATTCGATTATATGTATTGGTTTTCTGTTTTCTTGTTCTTTTTCTATATAATTTGCCAAATTATTTAATTGAAATATATCATCCAGTGTGTTTGCTTGGAATGGATAAATATTCAAATTGTCTTGATCGCATGTTTATTTGCGACAATTATATCTGGAAACTGTTTTATGTTTTCTTTAATAATACTACCCAACAGAGGTAGATTTTTTGATCTTGCAGTAATCATCCATTGTAACATAGCTTCATCCACATCATCATATTTACATATTCTAGGGGAATTTTATTTTATATATATATATATTATTCAACAATAAAAGTAAATATAAATGTTCGAAATATATTGTATTACATGGAACTTTCAATCAATCAGAATAAATAATTTTTTGTCCCACACAAATTAGATCAGTTTTCCATGCATGTTAAGACCACAGCCCATTGTAATTCTAAACCAATTACTAGTCATTCAGTGCTGATATTTCTTTTAGCAGATATATTCAATAAATTCCAAACAAATGCGTCCGAAGTAATGTTTCGTAATGAAAAGGGCACCTATATGACTCCCCCCAAATGTGATGTAACAATGACGAAAAAATGACAGGCTTGGAATGCAATAAGTTGAATTGAGTTTCAATGTTAAGATTTTTTTTCGTATTTCTAGAAAATTATGTGTTTTCTTTATATTTTAAATTTATACTCAAAATCTATCAAAAAAAAATTGAATTACTTTCGTCTTCATAATTTAATCCTGCTGTATTGAAGCGAATTTCTGAAGACTAGATACCAACAACAATACAATGGATATGCGCTATTTGGAAATAAAGTTACATATATACTTATTTAAAAAAAGGTAAAGATTTCATTATACAAATTTGTGCAAAAGAAGTAATCATTATCCTTTCATTTATATTATAACATAAAAAATTTAAAAAAACTTTGACGCTGTCAAAAGGCTTTAAAGTGTGAACATAGCTGCACTTTTACTTTTGCTACAGATAAAAAAAATTGTGTGGTTCACATATAAGTGAAGTGTTATTTCCAGTCTGATTTAGGTGTGGTGTGGTGTGGTTCATATCGCTGACGGGTGCTTTTTACTTATGGGAGTATATACACAATTTGCGTAAGCAATTTTTTATATAAATCTTCAATTTTAACTTATTTGTCTTGAAAGTTGAATTTAAAATTATAAACATTTATTAATTTATCATATTTAATCACTTAAAAAGTAAATACATAATAATTTTATATACATTATAATAGAAATTACTGCTTTGAATAGCCAGTCTTCGTTTTGCGATTGAGGAATTTATACAAATAGATTATACGTTTATTCAGATGTTTCCATTTTGTTGGTCGCGCGTCTGGATATAGTGTTTTCGACATCATTTTGCGTTTACGCAGCAGAACTTGATATTCGTTGCCAGAAACACCACGCAACCAAGCCGGCACAGAGTATAGAACTCGAGTGGGATGTAAACTATCATTACCAAGTATATCAATATAATCATTTTGCCCGAAAAGCGCACGCTTTTCATTCCATGCATTTTTGGGTCTATATTCAGGCATAGGTAACTTTTGTCCGTTATCTAAATGCGGCAACAAGCCCCTTTGCAAAATTTTTTCTTTATAACCATAGCTGCGAACTAATGGCCCGCGTGCTCGTTTCTCTTCATGAGACAATTTTCGTATATTCATGTAACCAGTAACACTTGCCACTGGAGATACATTTTGTGGTATTTGCTGCGTTGTAACTCTGAACACTAACTTTCGTAATGAATTAGCTAAAAACGACATAATTATGAAAACAAAACTAACGCGAAATCGATGTTAGGTAATTCGGTGAACAAAATAAATAAAGAAATTCACAATAGCGATCTGTCATTCCAAACTGTCATTGCTTTCAAATGTTGGCATATTTTATTCACAATTAACAATTCTAAACTAAATTTATTCAATTAAATTTAATTATCTACCAGACTTACTCAGCGAAAACAATTTGTTTTATTTACAATTCTACTCGTTTAATTGGCTTTGCTGAAAATGTACTTGACAATAATCTTTCTTTTATTTTATTTTATTTTTTATATTTGTTTTTGTAAATACGATCGATACAGCAATATATGTGAATACTCAATGAATCGGATGCTGTTCGTGCACTAAATGTTTGAATCAAAATCAACGAAGTCAGCATTCATAGCACATTATGTATACTGCGTTCACTCTAGCGTCCAAAATTTAGTCCATTTTAAAATGATTCCATTCAAAAGTGATATACAGCGATATTGCAAAGATTTGAATCAAAAATACTTCGTTTATGTGCGGCTGCTCCATGGTACATCCCAAATAGTACTTTACAGCGCGATCTCCACGTCCCATCAGTGTTTAAAACAATACAAACAGTCAGCAAAAACTATCGTATAAGACTATCAAATCACCCGAACCCACTGGCACACGAGCTACTATCAGACATCAATCATCCACGTCGACTAAGAAGATTTTCTACGTCGGACTTGCCAAGTAGAACCCTAAACACGTGAATCGTAATTGTAAACTCACTGAAATTAAATATTTATAGCCAACTATTTACTCACTATTATTAGTCATCATTATTATTAGTTGTAATTTAATCTTTAGCGGTGTTTACTACTGAGTGTCCCGCACGTGTCTACAAATCACTTCTTCTATTTTTATATTCATAAGTAATACTGAATGTTCTTTTACAGATTGTATTTATATAATAATAAAAAAAAAAAATAAAAAAAAAATCAATTTTGGCACTGATTTGCTTTTTACAAATTTTAAAAATGGAAGTTATAACAAAAATTTAAAATTTAAAATATCCAAAAAATTTTAAAACATTTAGTAGTTCATGTAATTCGACATTTACATGATAACACAATGGGCATGTTTTTTTGCCAATCGAAATATCATAGTTAATATCTTTTATATTTACATTTACGTCTCTCTCAATTTTATAATTATATTCAAATGCTTAAAATAAAAAATATTTTTATTTATATTGCAACAACTTAGAAATTATTATATTATAAATCTAGATTTATATTAATTCAAAAATGATATAATCCAAATGAATATGTCAACTTCCTTATTCGCTAGCATGGTTTGTTTATACTATGTTCTGACAACCATATTTCCTTAATTTCGTAAAAATTAAATTGAGTTAGTTTCGAAAGTGAAATCGTAAAAGATGATTATTATAATTACAAAGGATTCGCAATAATTAGTATTTTTTCTTAAATTATCATTCTTTATCTTCAAAATGAAAAAAATTAAAATGGCATTTACACTGATCCCAAATGACCCATTTCAAACCAGTCATTTAGAAGTGTTTACATTCGTTGCTCTTCATTTGTTCTCATTTCAAATAGCTGATTAATCAACGTGCCTGTTGATATGATTTTTGGTCTGTGCTAAGCAAATGTTGTATGAAAGTGAAATATATCTTTAATCAATTAGCTTCGCTTAAGTACTTTTTACGAAGTATAAGTTCGTTCCAAAAAGAGGTGCATCGTTTTAAAGGAAATGCAACCGTCAAATATTTGTTTACCTTTTTTTGGTAAATATGTCAAAAACAGCATTTAAAATCAATTTTAACCGCCAGTATGAACGCAGTTATAAAGCGGCTACCCTAATTTTCAACACCTTAAGCAATGTCTTAAATTTTATTTATATGGAATTCTCAGCTGTTCTATTCTTTTCAATTTAATCAGTTTAACAGTCATTAAACAGTTTTCGTGAGCACCTACAATACTTACACACTAGCACTCAAGATGATTCCATTTTCGTTCATCGTTATTTTTAAGTAATACGAAGTGATTAGAGGTATTTCCACTGACATTTTTTAAATTTCGCTTTGAGAGCAAAGAAATTATTTTGCAATATTACATACATGTAATTTGATAGGAATTCACACTAACAATATATTCATTAATACTTGTAAGCATTACAAGATTCGTGCATTTTTTGCTGATAAATTTAAATTTCGTCGAAAAATTCTGTTGGAAGAATGTAAAAGAAAAAAAAAAAGAGTAACAGAAAAACGAATTTTTTTGGAATAAATGTTCTTAAGTTAATGAAGTTAATTAATACATGATGAAAAATGAACAGAAAAATTTACAAATATGAATATAAAGTCAAATTTCTAGCATATGTAACTAAAAGTGATAAGTACAATAATACTATTACTACAACGTGATAATTAATTAGATCTCTTCACAGTTGTAATACATAAATTACAAATTTATAGTATATTAAGACTCTCATACTTAACGGTTTTTGGGTTTATCCCTTTAAGCATTCATAGTTTTTGTTCACATTTGCCGTACACAATCCATTTAAATAAGTCCATTGGCTTAAGAACTATTGCCTTATATTCAATGTGGTCATTATGAAGGCCAGTTTCATTATGAAGGCAAAAATACAGTAATCAAATAATTTATATTTTCTCGTCTGAAATCGATTTTATTAAATATATTTAAAATAAAAATAGGTGAAAATTTTATATTTTTCATTATTTACTCATAAATTTAACTACGAACAATAACAAAATATGGTGGTGAATCATACTGAAAAACAAATTGGCAACAAAATAAAACAGTGACTTTTATTCGCTAAACTCTGTTAGTCGAAGTGTAAACTCCTAAACTTTTTTTAGACAAAATTTGCTAACTGAGGATAGACGAGCTTAAGTCTAAACACAATATTAATTTTAACTTCATTTTGTATGAAATACAATTCACTTGTCGGTAACAACCTGAGCAAAGTATTAACAAAATTAATACTCTAATAATTCCTATAGTAAAATAATATTAGCTGTCCCCTTTGAATAAGCTTTAAATAAGATGTTGTGGCAGAGCGTTTACACTATATCAATTAACGCATTTTCACAATTTATTCACTAAAATGAATTTTTAAAAATATTATAAAATAAAATAGTGTATTTTGCTGTGATTGAGTTTATTTTATATTATATATTATTTATATTAAGCATAATAAACATAAAAATATATATATTGTTTAATTTTTTATAAATTAATTTTATTAAATTTATTTTTTAATGAAACATTTTATTTTATTTGCTATTAATTTTTGTTGTTTTTGCTAATTGAGTCGTTACTTTATTTAATTGTGCTATTATCGCCAATTGTAAAGTGCGCATGTAGTATACGATTTATATTAATATATAAGATATAAAAGATTTCAGTTACTTTCGTGAAAAATTGTAAATCTATACATAATTCGTTGTTGTTCCCCATACTAACAAAGACTTGCTTTGATAGATGTGGTACAGTATTTAATAACAGGCGATTCTTTAGATGATTGCGATATAACTGAGTACTCAAACTGATACTGTAGCGATATTATGATTTGCTGCTTTTAAAATTATTTCACAAGAGTATCGAATACAACAATTGGTTACAAAGTAATAAGCTGTATGGTAAAATTCTTTATTGTATGTTTCTCAGGAATTATACAGTCCTATCAGTATCAAAATAGAAAATCTAACAAATTTGTGAAACTGCAAACCACATCTATTTTTTATAATTATAAAGATTTTTATAGATAGATGTGGTGTAGCATAAAATGACAGACAGTACGTAAGTTATTTGTGACATAAACCAGAACTTAAACTTATACTGTAACAATATCATGATACGTTGATTTCAAAGTTGGTATCGAAAACGACATAATCGGTTACTTGGTTGGTTCGAAGGATAGCCACTCGTCATGTAGAGGTCCAAGTCTCACTCGAAATCCCTCAAAGGGGAAGGGGGAGAAAATTTGTGTGATAATTGTATGTTCCAGTAATTATACGATTCTGCCAGTAGTGAAATGGAAAAGCTTATAACATTGTGAAACTACATTGTGAAACTACACTACCAAGATTTAAAACACCGAGTATACCGCAATACATCTGTCTAAGTATTTTTTTTTTCTATCATAACAGTATGATGATATACGACAATATCTACGAACGATTGATTTACGATTGATTGTTATAGCAAAAATATTTTGCTAAAGCGGAAGTAAAACCAAGTATCACTATTGATTTTAGAATATCATTGATTTTTTCGCTGCGAATATTTTTGACTTCTATTAAATTTTGGTAACTTCAAGTAATATTCCTTAGGTTTACTAAGTATCAAAAACCAATCACTCATAATTATATTCATACTTAGTCGTCCCAACTTTTTGTGAGACGTTTCCTCAATATAAATATATACAGATTTATCCACAATCCTTCGCTAAATGTCGTGAACTGTCTCTTACCTTGTACTCTTCTTTTACATATTATTCTGTGCTCCTGTCATCCCGTTATACTACAACAGCGATTTCATCGTATTAACAAATATATTCAGACATCGTTTCTGAAAGTCAAAAGAATAAGACAAATACTTTTCTTATTTCGACTTTATTCATTAAATTATTTAATTCCAATAACTTACATAAACACGACGATATGACTCTTATTTACTAATTTATTAATTGTTATAAAATTGTTGATGTTGAAATATCTTTGACTTAATCTTGAACATTTTTGTATCCGTATTTGAATTCAATTTTTAAAAGCATTTAAAAGAATACATCTAATATTTGATAGGGCATCAAAAAAAACAACTTATTTGTTCCTCCTACTAGATTCAGATGCTGTTGGTGGTGGTGGTGGTCCACGTTTATGTAGTTCTTCTAAGTAGTTTATGACAATAGATGTACGTTCCTCTGACATGTGATCTAGTACCAAGTATCTAATAAAGGAAATATAATAGTTTTAGATTCTATTTAAGAAAATTAAATATTTAATAGTTTAGTAGTAGTTTTATAATAGTTTTAGATTCTTTATAAGAAAATGAATGTACCTTTTGTCATTTTTTAGTATATCCTGAATTTCCTTCAGATGATTTCCATTTTCTTTTACTATATCAAAACTTTTATGTGTAATAAGTTTGCACTCTTGTAGAAGTTCGCGTAATGCGACTTTAGCGTTTAAATATTTATCTTTGATATAATCCCTGAATTCGCGTTCACATTTATCCGAGTTATTATACTTGAGATAACGTGGATCTTCCTTGACTAATTTTTTTATATCCTTCCATGAACTTGTCAGCTCAAGCGTTGATATTTCATCAAGCATTTCTCTGAATTTTTCTCGTTTCTTTTTCATCAGTGTATCAATATGTTCGTTAAAAATTCTGCAGGATTAAAAATAAATATTATTATAAAAATGTAAGCATTATGTAAATTGAAATAAAATCAAAATTCAATACTAATAAAACTTAAATCTATTTCAAAGATAAGCTGACATATAATATTCTAAACTGAGAAAAAGAATCCAGCTCATATTTACTTTACATTATAAATATCCATGTCTCAATCATTGTGTTCTAAGCAATAATGATAAACTCCATTTTATTCGGTGTGAAAATCTTCAGAGAAGTTTTCTTGATTAAGTGTAACGAGCTCAGTAACCAATTAACATAGTAACAGTTCAAAGCGGCAATAATAAAATTTATTCATTCGAAATGTGTTTTGTTCTTGTCTATTCATTCTGCTGTTATATTTACTCAGTTACTAAGCTTGTTACACGACATAGTGAATAACACTAATGAGTTACTGCAACATTTAGTTCTTATTTTCCAAAATTACTAATGCTACTTTTTATTATTTTTAGTTTTATAGAACTATTATTTTAATAACTAATTTCAGCCTCATAATATAACTGAGAATTGACATCTCTACGCTTGTTGAAAACTTATATGGTACATATATATATAAATATATTTATAAATATTATTCATCCACTAACTACATATTTAAATATGAAAATACCTTTCGCGATCGTCTCGATCAAGTGACTCAATTAATTCCCAACGATGATCTTTACGCAATTGACGTTTAACCTCCTTCCACGTTAAATCTGGATTTCGAACCAAATCGGTTAATAAAGCGTTAAATTGTCCAATTGCCTCATCTCTCTTATGATGTTCCCTCTCCTTATCACGATCCCTTAAATGACCAGCAAGTGTCCTTTGAACTTCTTTCTCACGTTCTCGTATGCTTTGTTCAGCACGCATTTTACGATCACGCTCCTTTTGCAATCGCTCCTGCTCATCATCTTCGCTCGCTGAATTGTGCTCACTTTCATGATGTTCCCCTTCCTCATCCTACAAATAGTTTTATTTGGTAACATCCAATTTAATAAATTATTTATACAAGTATTTACCGATTCTGTTAATTTTTTTTTAACACCATTCTTTTCAATTTGTTTATCCTTGGTTTCCTTAGACTCCTTATCACTTCGATCTCTTTCCCTACTTCTGCTGCGATCTTTACGATCAGATTTTCGGTCATGTTTATTGCGGCGTTCACGATCACGTTCTCGTTCGCGTTCTCTTTCACGTTCACGTTCCCTCTCTCGATCTTTTTGTTCTCGTTGTTTGCGTTTTTCATCTTTAACCACACGTAGGTAATCCAAAAAGTATTCCTCACGATAAGAACTGTCTAGAACTCTGTACCTTGAATCTGAATCAAACTTCTTTTTAATATCATGCCAACGTGTATGCCGATCAATGTCAGAGCGTTCTCGCAGCATGTCAATAAAGTCTTTGCGTATCTGAATATTTTTACATATAATAAAAAAAGAGAAGAACAAAAAGATTTCTTAGTTTTATCTTATAATGGTTAAGTGGACCATTTTAGTTTAGACTTAAAGCTACTTATAGACAAACTTATCTTAAAACTAATTAAGTTTAAATACTAATTACAATATTTGCTGAAAAAGACTCAATGGATTAGTGCTGAAAAAAAGTTATATATTTTATTAAACTGTAACACATTAATGTAATAACTTAAAAAACTTAGAAGATAATTTATATAAATGTTTTACTTGTATAATTTTCGGAATATTGGACCGGACAAACGGACAAACTTCAACATTTTCTGCAACAAAATAATTATTTAACATTTGCTCTGTCGTTCGATTTGCGACTAAAATTTGATTTATAAAATAAATGCAGTAAAAAACAAACAAAGTTATTTTTAAACAATAAAATTTCGATATACAAATTAAAAAATTAAAAAAAATTAGCAAACGTTAAACATTATTTTTTGCTTTTATTTTCCTGTGAAAAAAATAAAATTTTATACTATTGTATATTCATACTGTTTTCTCCCATCTCTATTCAAGTTGCACCTCTGCTGTAGTTGCTTCTTTTATGGTTTGAGAGGACACCCGATTCGTTTCTGTTAGGTTCTTCACAACATCAACTTGAAAGCTTCTGCCCAATATCAAGACACCTTGCACAGGAAGCACTCCACCTCCATTCCCAGCGCAGATTTAGTCACCAATATTATCATGGGCTTTATTCTTTACGTAGTTTATAGAGGTTTAAAAAGAATGGATTTTTAGGTCAACGTTCATCTGATTTTATGAGGTTGTTATTTTTAAATCATTTGATTTTTTTTTTTTTTGGTAATTGTTTTGCATTGCAAATATTTTAACTCACCAAAACGCTTTGCTTAAAACGTCGTACAAGTGATATAACTTAATGAACGGTACAGCATTCTCCCCATTTTCTCAGATTTGTATGTTAATCTGTTGCATTGGGCCCGATCGGTTGGTGTCTTATATACATTGTGAGTCATTGAATATATAATTGAAAAAGTATGGTTGATCTCCTTCGAAATTGGTATAGCGCACACCAAAGCTGTTAGCACGTTGCCATTGTTGATAAACATTTGTTGGAAAAAAATGTCGAGTATAAAGTGCAAAAAAAATTCATAAAAATTTTGCAATTTCGAGATATAAAATTGCATAAGTACATACAATTAACTTGCGTACAATCTACACGTTTATTGCAGTCGCATTGGGTAAATGTTTCAACACGATTAAGTAGGTGACAAATTTGAGATCAAGTGAAGAAAATGTTTTATAAAAATTTTGTTATTAATATAATGATGTGCTAATAATCAATAAATTGTATATAATTTATTTGTTTTTTTTCATTATTTTTTTTTTATTTATTTATAAATATACATAGACCTAAGCTAATTTTTAAATGTGCTACTATGTAAAATACATTAGTAGTACATTTAAAAAAGTAATAATTAACACATTTCCATACCTGCTCTCTTTTAAGTATTTTCTCCTCCTTTTCACGTCTTCTTACATCCACTATGTATTCATTAAAAAGACTCTCCCTTTCACGTATTTTTTCAATAGCCCTATAACGTTCTTCTTTTCCATATCGTTGACAAAAGTCGCTAAATGAAGATCTAAGTAAAAAAGAAATGTATAGTAATTAACAAAAATATCTCAATTACTTATTTATGAACTTACTTTCCATGAAGTTTCGCGTCTTCCATTAATTTGCGGAAGTCATCTCGCTTTTGCCGCATTTTATTACGCTTTTCCTTACGTTCTTCCTCAGCGCGATCTTTGACATACCTCTCAAATACCTGTTTCCGTTCCTTCGACGTCAATAATAAATACCGTGGATCAAATACAATTTTATGTAGTTCTTTTTCCCATGTACTAAATGCAGAAACCTTTTGAAATAAAGGTTAAGATTGACAATATTAAAAAATATATTATAGATTCATTAAAAAAGAATATTTATTTACATCTTTTTCGCGCAACATTTCTTTAAATTGTTTTACACGCGTTTCCAATGGTACCAATGCACGTTCCTTAGCTGCACGTACTTCGGCTTCCACAGCTGCTTCATTAGCATCAGCTTTTTTAGAATGTTTTGCTAAAAAAAAACAGATGTTTATATCTTTTGTAGATTTACGTGCGTAATTAGACTTACTTAATTTTGATTTCTTTGTTGGCACTTCTTCTACACTCGATTCAGATTCTGTACGTATTTTTATAATTTCATCATCTTCCTCCTGCTCATCAAGTCCAGGTTCTACAATTTCAGTCTGTTTGATTTTTTCAACTTGCTCCTCTTTCTTTGATTTTTCAATCGTAGGCTGTAACACATTTTTGAGTTGTTCCGGTGGATTGCTTACTGCTTTGTCTACATCGTCTCTATCCAGTAATTCTTCAGGTCTCTCCCAAACCGATGTGCGAGTAGATGGATTGTAAAAAAAAACACGTGCATCACCAGTCCATACAACGCACCAAGGTGTACCAGTTATTGGTGTGGTACAAATAGGTCTCGATTTATCTACAGGTTTTGTTGGTGTTGCAGTTTTTTTTGCGTCCTCTTCTTTTTTTCGTTTTTCTTCTGCTAACTTTTTCGTTTCCTTTTCAGTTGGTGTAATCACAGCAGTTTGCGTTTGTACTTTAACTGGTTCAGTTATTTTAACTGCAGTTGGAGCAGTTGTAACTGCATTATACATCATTGCTGGATCATATGGAACTGCACCAGATGGTGGCACGTGCATTAATGGATTAGGCATCATATGAGGCATACCTTGTAAATGTTGAGGGTTTGGTGGCGCAGCCTGTTGTGGAGCTGCTCCTGAATGCGCCGCCATACGTGCAGCTTCCATGTCTCTTAACGCCTGTGGTTTATCCCAAACACTTTCACCTCTACCTCCATGATAAAAATATGGACGACCATCAGGTGCACGATGTTCTGACCATTCAGCTGCACGTGCAATTACTGCTGGATCAATTACACCTGGTTTAATTATAAGATTTTTAGCCGGTTTCTCCTGAGTAGCAGCTGGATGGATGTGCTGATTCCATGGCATATTCCAAGGTGCAGGACCACCAGGAAAACCTCCATAACCTGGAGGAGGCATACCAAACTGTGGTTGATTAAAGTTCGGAGGATGCATCCCTGGTTGAAAAAATGGTGGTGGTTGCTGGTGTAAACCAGGAGGTGGCTGCTGCGTTAAAGGTGTTGGGTTTGCAACATTTACATTAGGTGGTGGCTGATTAATTGGTTGTTGCGTTGGTGGTGGTTGGGAAAGCATATTTGGTAATGACTGTTTACTGAGTGATTCTGAATTAACTGTAACATTCGCGTTAGAATCTTTTATCTGCTCAACATTTTCTGATATTAAAACGTTTCTGGGTTTTGTATTCGTTTCACTACTCATGGCATTTGGTGGTTGCTGCATTTGTTGCTGCATTTGAAGCTGTTTCCTGTTCATTTCTTCCAGTTCGCTTTGCATTATTATTTTAAGATTTGGACCATCAGGTTTTGTCCACGTAGTTTCTCGAGTAACTCCGTGATAGTAATATGATTTTCCATCCTCTGTCTTTGTTTCTACCCAATACTCCAAAGGCGGACCATTAGATAATGGGGATGTTTGTTCCATACCAATCGGACGCGAACCAAAATTATTAAACCCACCACGACCTCCACCACGCATTAATGATATATTAGCACCGCCGCGGCCGCGAAAGGGGGGTAGTACATTGTTCGGTTTTGCTTGAGGATTACCATTTTGATTCCTAAAATAGATAGCATAAATTAAATATTCACATATAAATTATTATTAAAATTATTTCTTTCATACCATTGTACTTCACTTTCCGTATTAACATCATTTTGTGAACCTCCGCCGCCACCTGGGGGCTGACTCTGCTCAGCAGACGCATTTAAAGCAATTTTAGGACTTAATTGCGCACTTTTATCAGTATCATTAATTGGAATACCATCTATTTCAGACTCCATTAATTATTCAACTATATGCACTACTCTAAAGTATTACTAATTGCACAAATTCTAATCATAAAAATTTTTTCCTCACAGCGTTGGATTTTCTCTATCTGACAAGCATAAAAAAGTAGTGTTGCGTATCAATAAAAATATTTATGCACATAGATGTTGCTAAGTCGCTGGTGCTGGTAAATAAATTACTTGCTTTCGGCAACTTTTAAGTGTGGCTATAGGCGCTAAGCGAAATAGTGGCATCACTGTTGCTGTTGTTTCACAAACAGCAAATCTTGCATATGTGCACATTAATCAAGCAAACTACATTTTGCTTTTAAACAAATAATTAATATAAAATTGAAAATTAAAATAAATAAAAGAAATGTTAAGAATGCAGGAAGTTTTAAAATTTCCTTTTAAAACAAAATTAATAATGGTTTGCACTATTTATGCTTTAATAAGTATTAACTTGACAGCAACTAACAAGTTAAAAAATTTAAAACGCGTTTCAATTATATTTACTTCATGTCTTGTATAAATTTTTGTACATATGCGTATATTTTTAAAATGTATCAGTCCCACAATTTCACGTATTTTTAAAATATTTTATTTTCAAAATTGTGAATTGGTTTGAATTTTTGTTTACAAATTTTTGACAGATGATTGGAATATTCGTTGAAATTTCCAATTAAGCTTCACAACAGTTCGCTTATTGCTTTGGTGACACATATTTTTACAGTCTCCAAAATGTGTGGCCACTTTACAATTAGATGCTTAGATAAAGAAAGTAGTATCGTTGTTTTACGTACATTTTAGCTTTAAAGCGAACAATTTGCTGTTTTTTGCCACAATTAAAACCTGCCAAAAGCACCGTATATTAAACTTATTAATCCAAAGCTAGTACAACATGACCTATTTATATAACATTAGGCCTTACAGATGGCTCGCAAGTATGGCGAAAAATGCATGCTGGCCTATATTGGCTACGCAAGACATTGGCATCACTGTTGCAATCTGTGAAGTGTTATGTTTTGGCAAATGGCAAATCTTGCATATTAAATTTTTAACATATATACGTTAATTTAATATATAATATTAAATTTTTAATATATATACGCTTTAAGCATGATATAGACGATGCTATATGTATGCACACCAAGTATACGCTTTTCTATACACTTTGAAATAATGTGTACTTTTAACACATATATGTCTGTCGACCGAAATTTGGTATGCATACTTGAATATACACAGTGCGGTTTAGTTACACGGCATACTAGGTTTGCATACATTTATCATCGTCTATATCTTGTTTTAGTCTCATTTTTTTATTAACTCTGCTTATACCAAAAAAATAATTGGAATACATATGTTAATTCATTATGTTTGCTCCATAAGTTACTCGTAGTAAAACGTAGGTAAAGCACAAGTAAAGTAACATACTGAGAAAATTTTTACACAGATTTTCATGGAAAAGCTTTGTGTAAAATGTGGTGAGATCAGTACAACGCAAATAAACAATAAAAAAATTTGAATTTAAACCAAAAATGATGATTCACGCATCAACACAAATGTTACTTGAAATAGAATGTACGAGTAAAGTCTGTGTAGCATTTTCAAATTTCAACAGGGAAGTTACGATCTTTTAGATGCTCTCATTTACTTGAAAATTTGCTAATGTTCCATGGAACACATTTGTGTATACACAGTGTTACTCAAAGTTACTACGAGTAGCTCGTAGAACAGACCTATTAACAATTTTGTAATTAAACTCATCATAACCTTTTACAACACCTAACTAGCATGACATGTGTCAAATGAGATTAATTTATTTATTTTAAATGTAGTACTTTCCAGAATTTGATATCTTGTGAAATTAAATCAACTCGTGATAATCCTATCCGGTTACACCTTAAATAATGGCTGCAAAATCGCAATGGGTAACTATACATAATAATAATTTAAAAAATGTACTGTAAATGTTGTTATATATTGTAAGTTACATCCATTAACTTTGGAAGCTGATATATTTCTCACGGCACTCAAACAGTATGCACAAAATGAAACAAATGCAATTGATAATCAACTATGTGAGAAATTTCAAAATATAATTGATGAAATACAATGTATAGTATCATCGAAAACTTCGAATATATCCGAAACAACAAATCTGCAATTCGTAAAAGAAGCACATTTGAAAGCGATTCAAAGAATTTTTCATTGCAAAGAATGCAATAGGGATCTAGGTAAAACGGCCAGTGGTGCAGCGGTTCACTTAATTGATGTACACAAAAAGAAAGAAACAACTGTTCAACCAAAAACAACTGAAAAGCAGGAAGAAAATGTGGTTGTGAAACTTCCTAAGAGTAAGTTTTTTTAAATGTTATAAATGACAGAAAAATAAAGTGTATTTTTAGAAATAAAAGGCCTCCTTAGAAAAGATTTAAACAACCTTTTTAATCAAAGTGTAATGGAAGCAGAGTTACTTAAAATTTCTAAGGATTACGAAGTGATTGCAAAGGATTTACTAGATGATCTTAAGCCAGTTTTTCCAGATGAAGAGATTAAATTTTATAAGTTTGGTTCTCGTATATCTGGAATAGGTAACCGAAATTCAGATCTGGATATTTATATTGATATAGGTAATAGCTAAATTATTTAAAACTGACATATTTAACATTAATTTTGTATACAGGAAACTCGTTTAAAGTTTTTGATAATTCTGGTACGCCCACAATTTTAAACAAATTAAACAAAACCAATAATGCTTTAGCGAAAAATCAAAAATCGTGGCATATTCTTAGAACAATATCTCAAGCTCGAGTACCCATCATAAGAGTTTCAAATAAAAGTACTGGGATAGATTGTGATCTTGGATTCTCTAATAGTTTGGGATTCTGTAACACACAGCTATTGGATTACATATTTACTTTACAACCACTAAGTTAATAACAATACAAAACATATTTGCAAAATATTTATATTTTTTAAATTAAAATTTGCAGCCCGACGTATGTGCATTTTTCTCAAAAAATGGTTAGGTTACTGTGATGTTGAAATATCCACATATAGTGTTTGTTTAATGGTGATTTACTCGTTACAATTAGCTGGGCACTTACCATCAATTAAGGCACTTCAAGAAGAAACCGATACTCCAGTTAATGTTGGACGTAAATATAAAACTTAAAATAATTTATTCTTATATATTCTGAATTTTTTTTTTAGCATGGGCTGTGCATTTCTCGCAAAAACCTCTTAAGGAATGGAAAATGGAAAAGCTAAGTATTGAATCAAATAGTTGCAAAAAATTTATAGACGCGTTTTTTAAACTTTACTCTGTGTTTAATTATGGAATGTATGCAATTTCTCCATATCTTGGTACCAGAGTTACTGTTTCACAAATTACATCGGAAATGCCAACAAGGTATAATTTTATTGCAGTAAATATAATTGTTGCTTATGAAATAATTATTTTTTATAGTTACACTAACTATGTAAACGAAACTAAAAATAGCCTAGAAACAAAGGCTGGCATTGTACTTCAAGATCCATTTCAGCTGAACCATAATACAACCAAACACCTATCACCTTTCCAACTAAAAAGGCTAAAGTCATATTTTAAATTAAGTGCTGAACACATAAGCATGAAAAACTAACGATATAATTCTATTAACAAGTTATAATAATTTTAAACTATATAAATGCAATTTTTAAAACGTTTTGTATATTAAAGTGTCAATAAAGTTATTATTGCATATTATTTTGTGATTTTGATCATTTCTTATTTCGTCCGCAACGATTTTTGAGATATATGAATAGGGTTGTTGCAATAAAACCCGAAAAAACGGATATGCGCAAATAACACCACGCGACAAAAGTTAATTGTGATTTTGGAATAGTTCGGAAAGTTGTAATCTAGAAATAATAGGTTTCGTCTTTAGCAGGAGACATGAAAGGAATAACAAAACACGAATACATAAGTTAGGATATGGATTACGTACGCGGTAAGTAAAAAGAAACCCAGCTTCTTCTTGGTCAAAAAATGAATATTAAAGTCGGTGGTTTTAATTGAAATTAGCCTGGGCACGGGCGGAAAAGTCTTGCCACTTCAATAAATCGGAGTCAATAGGGCTCAAATTCATGCAATAGGGCTTTGGTACATGAAAACAGATGGGCGATACAATGAGAAGTAAAACTGCTGTGAGGTACGTATTATAAATTGACATAATTATGATTGCCAAGTAACTGTTTAGCACATAACTATGCTAATTCATGTTCGTATTCGATACAAGAAGAGGGATCGACAGATGATTAGTGGAGGAAGGGTTCAATTGATCATATTGACATTGCGATAATGCACTTATACAAAAAACATTTTATATGTAACTGATCGAAATCCGCATGGATTATTGCGAGACCTCAACCGACTGCACAATGCCGTGGCATAATTAGAAGAGGTCAACATACTGTAAAGAACGAAATCCAGGCTTAATTGTAGTAGGAATCCTGAATTCATTGATATCATACATAAAAAAAGATTTATTGGTCATAAAAGATTTTGGTTTGCATACCAAAAGAATAAGTCCATAAGATGAAAGAAAAAATACGTTTATGTGGTAGGGTCCTGATCTATCGCTAAGACTGTATTGTCGTCCGCATACGTCATGATCCTAACTCCTCCTTTTTTTTTTAACTTGATGTTGTTGTAGCCAATCGCTGACCTAAAAGTAAGCATATTAAAAGTAATGTAACTGATACTTGTATTTAAAGTATAACTAGTTTTATAAATTTCAACTTATAGTTACAAAATATGTTCCCTCTTGAAAAACTAATTATAACTAATTATAAAGTTTAAGATAGTTTATTTTTGAGGCCAACTGTAGGAGAGCGGTATATGATTGGTTCAAAATTTTATTTCAATAAATGTTCCTAAGATTATCTGAAAATTCTTAATTTCTTTATTATACTCTTTTATAAAACGCAATTATACATTATACTAAAAAACTCGTATCCACAGAACTGAAAATTCGCAAATTATTATTATTATTAAATAATAGGCTATGAATGTACCCCGGTCTAAAAGATCTATTGTGCGCCTAAAGGCTCAACTAATACAATTCTATACTATTTATAAATCTCGTACTTGCTGTGGGCTTAATTTTACCTATTTGATTTGGGACTAACGTCTTACCGCCTACGTCACTTTCTAGCGCACCTGTAATCTTCATGTGGTAATTAAGTCTACAGTGTCCTGTAAGAAGTTCAGAAAGAAGTGTAGAAAATTCGCAAATACCAAACTGATGTATATTTAATACATATCTCTGAATACGAAATTTGGATCTTTAATATTGATTCGGAAGTTCAAGTTAAACACTCCGATCAGTATCAATTAAATTGTGATTCCAAAGTCCGAATGGAATGAAGGGGGGGCTCCCTGATTTCACTACATTGATAAGCTGGTAACTGGTATGAGGCGAATTTGGTATCAAAGATTGGAAAATAGTTGCGGGAAACTGAGAGGATAAGAAGAGTTTTGTAAGTAAGATTAAAACTGCATGTTATTATTCTATGGTAAAATATAAGCAATTGACCACGGTGAAGATTAATAAGTACATAAATTGTACCTACGTAAGGTAATACGGTAATTGATATGATATGAGTTAGGTACCATAAGAACATCTGGTAAGAAAAGACTAAGGTAATACGGTTTATGTGGGGTACAATTTTTAATATGTGGGGATAATTTTTAATAAATTTAATAATTTCTTATAAATTATTAATTTCATTAATTAAAAATAAAATAAATTCTTTTAAAATTGAATTTGGACGTGATTTGCATATTAATTTCCGATTGAATTCAAGCCTCTACATTCTTCAAATAAAACTTCCCCACTTATTTTCGTAAAGAGCAATTGTATATGTATTTTGTTATACTTTATGCTTTCATTAAAATTATTTTGCTTATTTATTGGCTTATCAAACGAAGTGGTGGTGAGGTGGTTCGATAATCGAATGGGTTGGTTGGATGGCTTCAATCTGTCGGTAAACAGTGATAATGTGTTTCGCTGCGCCAAACTGCAAACAAAATATTTATGGTTATTAGAGCATTTATTTCGTTAGAAAGCAATAAAAATAAATAATAAATATTTATCAAATCTAATTAATATTATCGGCTGCATACCTCAGTAAAATTACAAAATTATTCACAAATTGTGTTCATCAAAAACTACTTTTTTTTGCTCAAACATTCTATGAATTAAAAGTTAAGACATTTAAATTAAAGAAATATTTTCATTATATTTTTTTACAACTTTAAATGAAAATAGAGACATATAAAAAGGATTTTTAACCAGCACAATACTCAGAATTTAAGCAAATAAATTAAAAGGAAAAACGTGTTGAAATGTTTCTGAATCCTTGATGAATCTGCCATTCTCTGACCGCATAACTTTATGAATTTTTTATTTATTTAAAATCTTAAAAGATGAAACGTGATGGGAAATATAAAAATTATTACTTAAGAACAGTTAAGCTTAAACAAAAATTCGAGTTGTAGGAATAGAAAATTAGAAGCGTAGGAATAACTCTTTCATTGGTAAAATAGATTCATGAAGTCTGCATTTTTACCGCTATGCTAATAGGTCCTTAGATTAGATTTAAATGTAATGGAAAGAAATCAATTCAGTACAGTTTAATACTTTAGAAATAAGAGAATCAATAGATGAAACAATCGATATACGAAACGGTCATGAACTGACCATATAAATCGATTACAAAATATTCGTAAGTATCAACACTGAAAGGACCGAGTCTTGTAATAACAATACGTTCACCCATTACTGAAGAGCAATAAAAAAGTCCTTACATTATGACTCATATCTTTTTGCTGAACAAAAACACACATGCATATATCTTTACTATTGGTCCATCACACTTAGTAGTGCTATGATCTTATGAGTTTTCCTTATATTATGAAATATTACTTTGAACACAGTTTTGTGAAAAACTTATGCTTGCATTAGTATAAATTGTTTGCAAAGATAATTTCTCTTGATATATTGCAGAAAAAAAACTATTAGTCACTACAAATTTGAGTAAATAAACAGCAATAGTAATAAAAAATTAAAAATAAATTTCTGGATTATCATTGGGATCTAATAATCTAAATACTGATAGATAACCAGTATTTCTAAATATATTTTGTCCTATGAGCTATCTAAATCTTTTTTGCTCTCTCTAGTATTTACTAAAATCAATGTGATAAGTAACTTATAGAGGATGTTTACTTTAAAATAGACGGCTATAGAAATAATACCGTGGTGTTAAAACGCCGACCTCATATATTAAAACTCACTCAGCGCTGGGGCAGTGACGACGCTTGCCCTATATGAAAGGGTGTGTGGCTTTTCTACAATGGTCTTTTTCCATGTCCCTTTTAATTCAAAAATGACAAATTGAAATATATCAGATATTTATTAACGATAACTATATTACATTAGGCAATAATATATTCACAATATTACATTCAACAATTCATTAACTAAATAACATATTAAATAAATTAAATTATTAATTTATATATGTATGCATATGTTAAATATATTAATATGGAATAAACACAACTTTTCACATACTTATCATAACATCAAACCAAACAAACAAGAATTTATGCTCAGCACCATATATATATGTTTATGCAGTAATTGAACAAAATCGAAACCACTTCCAACGTTTAAATGTGCGGCCAGCTACTCCGCACACCAAGCGGCAGAAATGTATGCAGTTGATATTCGAATAGAACAGAATAATTACTCTCATAAATTTCTCACTATATAAATCTCTATTTCTCATATTACAAGCGTGAACGCACGGCAATCGTTTATTCTGCTGTTGTGTACACCTAACAATAGAAATTTGTTAATACTTAAGTAGGATCAGTTCTATGCCTGTTACCTCTTTGTCTGCAGAATATCTGTGTAGCCACACACTTACCATTTAAATACTTATCATCAATGACGGAAATAAACAGATTGATTTTGTTGCCTTTATGGCCATAGTGTTCTTGATATATTACACAATTGTTTAATCTACACGACTTCCCGTATTCACGGTAATTTCATGCCTGATAATATATTTAAAATATTATAGAATAGAATAGGTGAATAAAAAACACGTGTTTTTACTTATACAAGAAATGTTCAACTCTCCTCTCGTTATTTTATTTACGAGAATTTTTTCCAAACGCTACTAACCTTTGTTAGTTTTGCGTTTCTCTGTTGGAGTGGACTGTATCTAAGTCGTTAATTCCGTTAGCTCGAAGGACTACTAGGACGAAAACATGTCTTTACATGTACACCACGAATGCTGAACTCATTTATTTTCTATAATTTTGCTTCTTATATACTAAATCTTACATACTAAACAGTTTAAAAAATATTATTCTCAATTAGTTTGGATTTTTCTCGTAGTTATACATGTCCTTTTTGTATAACTTGACCTTGTCCATCGCTACTTATTTACTTACTTACTTATTTATTTGGCCATAACAACCCGTTACCGAATTACATCAATATCGTGATATACTCGTATACTCGTAGATAACTCGTAGAGGACCAAAGATCTTACGAAGAACTTTTCTCTCGAACACTCCCAGTGCTGCTTCATCATTCTGTGATAACGTCCATGCTTCTGCACCATACACAAGCACAGGGAGGATGAGCGACCTATAGAGCGTAAGTTCCGTTTGTCGAGAGAGAGCTTTACATACCAATTGCCTACTGAGCCCGTAGTAGCACCTATTACCAATAATGATTCTTCGTCTTATCTTCAGGCTGACATCATTGGTGTTCGTTACGGCGGTGCCGTGCCTTATTTAACTCTAAGCCCATTCTTGCAGATTCCTTTTTGATGGCAGCTAAAGCAGCTGTAACATCACGCTTGTTACGCCCAATGATGACAATGTCGTCGGCGTAAGCAAGGAGCTGGACACATTTCGCTACTTATTTAATTATCTATAAATTTCTTTTCTTTAGTATACATTTTATTTTTTACTGATCCTTTTGTTTAAAGAATCCCGTGCGATTATATTTTAATACCTGAAAAATCCGTGTAGCAGAAAAATATTTTAATGTCCGGAAAAATAATGAAATACTTAATGCCCAAATAACTGAATTTGATATTTAGGTAACTGATGCATGTATCTGTAACATGTATCTGCATATTCAAATTTGAACAATAGGAAATATATTATACTCAAACCTATATAGAGTACAAATTTTTTGTCGTTTTTAAAAAAAAAAAAAATTTTAATTATTAAAAATGTTTAGACTAAAAATACTGTGAGTACTTATATATAGGATGGTAATAAGTACCCAAGTGCGCGTACAATCTAACATACGTCAACACAGGGACATATGCATTTGGTATATGCATCCAATTATATTGAAATAAATGGTGAACACTTTCCAGTTAATTACGCAATTGACATAAAGCGATCGCTTTCCAGGAATAATATAAAAAAATGGGATGTTAAATATATTTGAGATATTCAATCCTAAAGGCAAAACATATACATATAACCGAAAAAATGGTTAGGGATTTATACAATCACCATTAAATGTATGAAAAGTCTGTTTGAAGGTGCTGTTTGAACATATATCACAAATTAAACATGTAAACATCTATTATTTAAACATCAATAAAATATTCTTTAAACTATTTGTATATTGTATTATACGTAATTAAATAACTTTTACTTATGCAGAATGTATAATTTATTTACCGGACCAAAACTCAAGCAAGGTTAATCTGATTTGGGCCTACATAAGTTTCCAACTCCTATACATACAACAACTGCTACGAGATAAACGAGAACACCAAAAGAGTGTAACTGATGGTTAAGAAATAGAGCGTTGGAACTCGCCCTCGCGAAGTAATACATATTTGGCGGTCATTTTTTAAAGGGTAGCGTTAATTATAGGGGTTAAGGTTTAGGCGTACTGTGTCGCAAGTTTGGCGTATGCAAGAGCATCGTACCTGCGTACACCCGAGAAAGGTTGGTAGCGAACAGTATGAATCGGATATGTTTTAACAGCATCTTTAAAAGATTCCAACTCTAATGAAAAAAAAAAACTTATATACATTATACAACGAAAAAGAAAATAGCGGGAATAGTACACCAAACAAAAAAGAAAGTAAAACTAACTGATTTAACTCTTTATATATCAAAGTAAGTATCTTATATTTTATTAATAAATTGACAATCTCTGCATTTTCGTAAATAAAAAGGAAGATGAAGTAGTAACTCTAACAAAATATCCTGTAATAAACTCATTATACGATCTATACATATTTGTTATAGTTGATTTCATAGTAAAACCTGTTTTAGATATATTTTTAGTATCGTATGTCTTCTGTTGTCATTCAGTTCAGCTTTTCTTAATGTAATGAACTATACTTAAGAGTAACGATTTTACTTCAAATGATTTACTTCAAAATTTATTTGTACATGAGTGTAGACATACTACGCCTTAACCATTATTTTAAACTACCTAAATCATTATGTGTTGAATCTTTAGTAAATATGAACGCTGATAATAAAAAATGTTACGATGTCTTTACATTGTGGCAGTCATTACTGTTTTTAGCCTAACGGAGATCCATTTTAGAAGCAATTTCCTTATTATATTCGTTGTTATGCCAACAACCAGTCAGAAGAATTGACCACTATCTCTTGGAAGCGTCCCCTCTTGCCAAATTGTTCTTTGATAATCGCAAAGAGCTAGCAGAAGCACACATTAACGTGGGTCTTTTTTTGCACGTACTTGATCTAACCGAGCTGTATACCCAAACAACTAATAAAATAGTTAGCAAGGATGGGTACCAAAACAAAGCGAAACCACTATATAAGCTGAGTCACCACTTCAAGCAACCAATTTAATTTTTACCTTGAATAATTAACTTTAAAATAAAACAATAATTATAAGTTAATAATATATTTTTAATATAATTTATTAATTTTAATGCATTTTTCAATTTTTATTTACATTAAGATATTCTGTGCTATTTGAAAACGTTTTTATATATTTTAATAATACAATATTAAAGCAAATAAATAAACAATTTTTATTTATTAATTAATTAATTAAACAAAATTAAGTTCTTTAATATTCGTATGTATATATATGGTTACGTACACAGACATATATATATTTATATATATACATATATAAGATATCGCATTTAATGCTCAATTAGGAAACTTATAACTGTGTTCGGAGCTTAAGAATTTTTTATTATTATAATAATGTTAAGCTAAGCAGTGTTTAGTCTTATACCTTTGCTTTACTAATTTGAATATATTTTTTAAATATAAATACATATAATGTAATAGAAATAATAATTCGAAACAATCTATCCCAGCCCTTGATCGATTGGCACGAACTATTAAATAAAATTTTGAAGAATTTCAAAAAAAAATTATAAACATTTAATAATATGTTAAATTTATGTTTTTAGTTAAAAAGGAACTTATTTTTTTGATAAACATAGTTTAAAAATAAATTAATATAAATTTAACAATAAAAAAATGTATTTTGTAGGCAACGATTGAATCATTTCACTCTTTGTCGTCTTTATTGGCAACTGCAAAAATGGAAAAAAAAACTGGTGAGATACAATTGTTTTAGATGCATTAAAAAAGGTACATATATACGAAGAAAAAGAAATTTTTAAAGAAAAAAAAGGTTAAGCATTACTCAAGGGTTAAATGTCAATTGGACAAATCCTTGTTATATTTTTACGTTTATGCCTTTTGCAAAACTCTTGAGGAAAGTGTTTGCGTAAATGCTTCCGTTTTGTTTATTCGCTATTACAAATGTACAAAAGCAAATCTACAACTTAAATGCCGGAATACAGGTGCATTATACACAGACTCTTTAACTAACTGTCACAGGCCCAACAGACGTTGAGCCTCGTCTCATTGAAAGCAGACAAACGAAAACAAGCATAACGAGACGCTTCATATTTTTATATTTTCTTCATTATGTGAACGTGAGTTATCTAATGAACTTTAAAAACTGAGGAGCTGAGGAGCTAAGGAACATAAAACGTAGGAAGATTTAAATACTTTTAAAATATTTTTATATCGATTTATTACTATTTTTCAAATTATCCATTACATACGAAATGGATTGAATTGCTCTGAATTATGGGAATACAAATACACAAAATTGAACGAGTATGTATATTAAATAGACAACTATAGTCTTCTGCAGAGTAAGGAACGACTTATTCAAAATCGCTGACAGGATTAACTAAGCTTTTGCTTTTTCATGGGTGAACTGCTGCTAATTGAAGGTTCCCAAAGTAACCTAGCCTAACCTAGAAACAAGAGTTGCATTTCAGTGAGGTGCCAACTGAAATATCACCACATTGAGTGATATTAAGTGATACATTGGCTAGAAAAAGAGTGAATTGTTTTCGTTTATAAAAACTAGAATAACAAAGGTAGTTAATTTTAGAAACTAATAAATTTTCATCAAGAGTAGGATTAAATGCAATACTGCATGAGCTGGAATAGTGGGAACTTCTTTAAGAATTTTAATTCGAGCAGAATTAGGACACCCAGGTGCCTTAATTGGAGATGACCAAATTTACAATGTAATTGTTACAGCACATGCTTTCATTATAATTTTTTTTATAATAATACCAATTATAATTGGTGGATTTGGAAATTGATTAGTGCCTTTAATATTAGGAGCTCCAGATATAGCTTTTCCACGAATAAATAACATAAGATTTAAATAAAGCATCCGCCTGCAATTAAAATAGATCTAGCAAATTATTTCAACTTATTTAAATTGCTATTTAAGAATAATTTTGTTTTTTACGGGATAATTGGAAAATAGTTAAATAATAAACTTTTTAAAAATGTTTATTTATTTTTAAAGGATTTTATTTTAAATAATAAACTTTTTAAAAAAATTTTATTTGTTTTTAAAAGATTTTATTTGAATCGATATTTCGACTATAATCTATAGACATCATCAGGGTACTAATGATATTATGGTACTAGCATTAGTACCCTGATGATGTCTATAGATTATAGTCGAAATGTGAGTTAAAATAAAATCTTTTAAAACAAATAAAATTATTTTAAAAAGTTTATTATTTAACTATTGACCCGTAGAAAACAAAGTTATTCTTAAAAATTTTTTGGTCATTAAAACAATAAATTATTGGCATTTAAGGAAATATTCAGAAATTAAATCATCACCAACGCGTTTCATCTTCATCTTCGCCTTTTATATTTATATTATAAAATTTAAAACATAAAATTTTAAATTCTATATATCTTACATTTTTATTAATGGTAAAATAAAAAATATTAAAAATATATGCAAAAAGACTTTAAATAGACATCTGAAGAATAATCTTAAAAATAATTGTATAAAAATTTAATTACCATTTGAGTCAACTGCTGCCCGCTTGCCCCGCATGCCAACAAATCCACTTGGAGTACGTTTAGCATATGAGTCATATAGTAGAGACGGCAAAATGTTGACATAGTACCTTTGTCTATTTGGTTTTATTTCAAGTACATCATCTGTGGGTTCTGAATCAAGTTCATTCTTTTTGCCACGTACTGCGACGAATTTATTTCCAAAGTCCACAAAACGTTGTTTCTTACCACGTGAATTTAGAGACTTTTTAAGAAAATTATAAATAAATTTCTGAAAACTTTTTATTTTAGATTGTAACATATAATAGTTTATGCATATATAATATGTATGTAACATTTAAATTTATATTTATAATAATCATTATTTATTATATGTATTTAGCTAACCTGCGTTGCTGCTCTCTTATATGTCTGATGATCAACATCTTTTTTGCCACGCACACCAACGAAAGCGTTCGAAGGTCCACGTTTTGATATACCGTCATCTTCACCAATTTCTTCATAACCATAATTTACTGAAGGACGTTTACCTCTCATGCCTGTAAAACCAGTAGGTGCGCGTTTATTTATTTCATTTTGTGAAACAGTAGCGGTGGCTAATCGATCTATAAAATCTTCTAAAAGAACCTCACGTAAACGTTGCTCTTCGAATTGTTGCAATAACGAATCCAGACGATTTGTGTCCTTACTGCCAATATTAAACTTTTTACCACGTACACCATAAAATGCGGACGGTGCTTTTTTATAGCGAATACCGAAGGCATCATTATAATCTTCATCCATGTTATATGTGTACTCAATCGGATCTATGGGCCCGTAATTGCTATCTTGTAGGCTTACATCATTGTTTTCTTTCTTGCCACGCATTCCAGTAAAACCACTTGGAGCACGTTTCACTAGATTCAGTTCGTTTGTCGAACTAAAAAGATGAAAATTGAATTTCATTATTTATGTATACGACGAAGAACTCCAATTGTTTAGTGTACTACGTACTAAATTTAAGATTAGCACATCATATGTTATGTGAATATATATTAAAACTATTATAATTGTGAGTATCTTTAACTTACTCAAAGTTTTTCATTATTTTATCAATCTTATTGTTATTATTGCTCTCGTTCAGTTCTTCTGTTCCACCAATTAATGGCACTTCAGTACCTTCTGGTATTTGTTCTGCCACATCACGTCTGGTACGCTGCTTACCTTTCACCTTTTTAGAAATGTTAAGAGGAAATTATAACTTAATTTTATATTATATATGCAAAAAATTATATATGCAAATTATTCAAAGTAAAAATTATAGTGAAAAGAATTTTTAAGGTAAATAAGAAGTTATGAGATTATATGCATATGGGATGAAGTAATTAAATGTTTATTACCTCTACGTGCACATTGTCTATGCCATTCGCTTCACCAAAAAGTATCCATAGAGTACAGCAAATTGTGGAAAATATTAAGATGTGCTTTGCCATATCTGCTTACGTCACTTTATGATGGATACTAATTGTACGAGTCCTGCGAAGGAGTTATGCACTGAAAATTTAAACAACAACTTCATTAAATAATGGACAAGTTCAAATAGTGGAAAAAAGAAATAAATGTTAACTTATGGCTTAAAATAAAGAATGCTAAGAAATATGGCATGGAACCATAGATGTACGCGTTTATAGAACTTTTTTCGCTATAAGAAATATAATTAATATTATATGAATCTGCACCCTACAATTTTAAGTATACAGTTTTTGATATACTCAGTTCTTTATTGTAGTATATTATAGATGTATAGATGGTTGGCACTATATTTGATATTAATACAATTTTATACGGTGAGAGCGATTGCAACTTTTACATTTTAAAAAATAACATTTGAGGTTTTTGTGTACTCAGCCAGAACTCAGCTAACTACACGCCGTGATTGAACTACAAATTTTGGTAAAATGTGCTATTTTGATCACCTTTTTTAACTCTAGATAGAAGATATAAAATAAAATAGACGCGTTTAATTATCTTTAATGGGTTTCATATAATAATGTGCAAGTTTGAAGATTGGTACCTCGAAAATCACGGTTAATCATACGCAATTAAATTATCATATTAGTTTTTGGTCAAAATATATTTGTACCTGAGATCGAGAGGGAAAATCAGGAAAGTAAATAGAATTGGATAGGCCAAGCCTTGAGAAAGTTTTGATTAACATAACGAAAACCGCGAGGAATGGAACCTCCAAGGCCTACAACGAAGAGGCTGCTCGTTTATTACCTTGATGCACTGATTGTGTGTCGAGTGAATCATCAAAATTGAAAAAAGTTTGTTACTGCCTTATGCTCCGCCAGGAGCCATCTTTGAATCTTATTTTGACGTATTACACATGCCTTTATATTGTGAATTGAAAATTTCAAGAAAATTAAATAAATATTCATAATATCTTTGTACTATTTCAGTAACTGGTTTAATTCTTGTACTTTAGTGAATTATGTCGAGGATATTTTGATATTTTCTAAATAACATTGTCTATAGGGGTTATCTGAACATTTTTTGAATTAAGCTCTATTATATTCCAAATACAAAATACTATGACGCTTTTAAGATTGTATATAATGTTAAAATTCTTATGTATAGATATTATTTTAAGATTAAATAATACTCATTATTATAGGAAATCTGACAGCTCAACATAGGTTGAATTATAAAACCACGAATTCAAGCCACAAGTCGATCATTTGTCTGGTACTGATGCACAAACGAAAAAGATACTGAGTTGAGCGTCTTATATTAGATGAAGAAATAAGATTCAGTAAATTAAGTTTGATACTACAATTTATTGAGATAATTGGATTCAGAGAAACATTCTGACTGAATGAAAGTGATAAAATCATCTAATCGGATGATTGACATAATCTAATGATATAGAAAAAATGATACAAAAATGGATCATAGATTTCATTGCAACTTGAAATATCTATTCTGGTCTATATATCGAAATATTCTTAATGAATTATAGAAACATTCCAAATAATGACTTTTTGTTAATAACTATATTCTTTTAATGCCGTTACTTTGTAGAAATGAATTAGGTACTAAAACTTTGCTTGTGATATTAACTTTAGTTCGCTCTTCTTAATCTCAAATGCGGCAATAAATTCCAATATAAACATTTTAATCCTTGTTCAGAATTAATTGCTTAATTGCATTTCAACATTGCAACTTTTGCTTATATTAAAACTTAAAATAAAATTTTAAAATTTCCTCAAAGGCAAAGTGTGAAGAAATATTCTGCCTCTGCCATCGTCATGTGAAAGACTTTAAACTAATAAACTTTTATATTTTGCTTTGCTAAAAGCACTTGACCTTTTTTGCGGCGGAACAACTTCATCATTTTAATGATGAAGTTGCAATGGTGTTCCTTGTGTTTTTGTTCTGGGCGCGTTGGTGTTGATAAGTGATTTGGGTTCGAGGATAAAAATGTGCTCATGCAATTGAGCGAGTATGTTTTTCTTTACGCTTAGCCCAATCATTTTGGGTGCATAACTAATGAAGCTTTTTTCCTGATGTCCTGACGAAGGCACGCACAGTGCTCCGTTGCGCACTCAACTGGTCCAATCAACCAAAATAAAACACAAACTTAATGCTGATGGAGCAATTGTATTTTTTTCACATTGTGTAGCTTTAGGCGCTTCCGCTACAGCATGAATTCTCTTACTAAGTGCCATATTTTCATAAACATAATTTCATGTGTACGTCATTGAAGATACGTCATTCCTAGTGAAAATGCTAGAAGATAAGCTATCACTAGGAGTTATGTGATGCTGTGATATATATCATCTACGAAATGTTGCTGAACTTTTTATGATAAATAATTTTCCACAATTAAAATTTGGTGGAAATATCTCGAAAGCAAATATTTATTAGGTGATTTAACATGAATATATGACCATTTATGCAAATCACCAACATAAATCTGCACAAATAGCTGGATTCTATATTCTAAGCCTTTTAGATATGTGTAATTATCTTGTTCAGTTTTAAAATGGGCAATAAACAGGCTTAAATAATCCAATAATATTTATCATTTGAATGACTGTAAATCAATTTTCATTAATATTATAAATATTAAATTAGAAACATTAACCTACAATATCAAAATTGGTATTTTACTTTTACGATATTTATTAAAATCTATACCTAAACTCGGAAGCAGAATATTTCTTCTTTATTTTAGTCTTTATACTGAAATGTACAAACATTTTAATATCTTAACAATTACGTTTACATTTATTTAATTCCATCATTAAAAAATGAAAACATTTATTTAAAGATAAATAATTATAATAATTTTCTTAAACAAAAATGTGTAGAAACAAAATGTAGCTGATTACCCACTTGGTTGCTATTGTGACGAACTTATCAATTGATTGCTATGCATAAATCTTTCCTTATACATTTAGATAATACAATTTTCTGCAATAATCAGGTTCATACAAAAGATTTCGCTTTTATGTACATTTGTTTCTACATGCACTATTCGGTTTCCTTAGGATCTCTGCTACATATTTTGTATTATATTGTTTATCGTAATCGTCTGAACATTTTTGTCAGTTATTTTTTCAAAAGTCAGTTGTCCAAACAGGATTTCTTTGTACACGCATGCTTAACTTAATTCTGGACATTTTTCGGTAAACATTGATTAATTTTAAGTAGCATTTGACCATTTGGCAAAACTTTGCCAAATTTCTCTAATAATTGCTGTAATATTGCAAAAATGAACTTTTTTTCTCTGTCTCTCTCTTACTCTCTCTCCTTATCTCTTTCGCTCCCACTCTGTCACTATCTCTTTCTTTCTCTATTATTTTAATATATATGAATTTATATGCATTAAATTGTCCATGCTGAATGCAACTTGCAGTGAATGCAGGAGCTTATATTTTTTATTTAATATATATAAATTTCAAATCTTAAAAACGAAGTGAATCCCCTGGCTAGACCTCTTACTAATATGACAAATTCATCTAGACCTGAACGGAAAAATAGACCCGCCATCCGGATTTCCTAAAAATCATTCTGATTAATTCAACTTATACGCCGTGATATCTGGTAAATAAACCCTGGCTACTTAGTTAGAGGCCCCTTAAAATAATTTACAAAATCATTATATTTGTAATGTAATTATTGTTAGGCTTTAATTTAAAGCAATTCAATAAAGACATATTGTTAAATAAAGAAAATATATATATATATATATATAATATATGTAAATTATAATTGAAATTTAAAAGCAATTATATAAACCTGTTCTATAAAACCAAATTGGTGAATTGGAAATAATAATTATTTAAATAAAATTTCTAACTTTTTATAAATTGTGGTCAAAGTGTGACATCAATTAAGCCCCAATAAAAATTGTTGATATATTATAATTTAAATGTAAAACTAAACGAGTAAAAAGCACAGCATCGCTTTGGGACATTAGCCTAATATGATGACAAAAGGAAAATGTCCTAAATAAACAAACAGCAAAGAAATATATTTTTATATAAAACATAACACAAATATGTTATATGTAAATATAAAATAATTTATAAACACGGTTGAGTTACGATTTGTTTAAGAAAATGTTTTTAGCATAAGAAACATTATAATGATTTTTAAAAATTATAAAAAATAAACAAAAAACTTTTCTTTTTGACTGTGCATAGCTGAGATATAAGTCAATTTGTTTAATCAACAAAAACAAAAAAAAAATAAATAAAAACAACGAAGGAAACAGAAAAAAAGAAAAACAATACAGCTTCGAGCAAAACCCCAAAAAGGATAGGATTTTTCAGAAGTTGGCCCACAAGTGGCATTTATTTTATTTTTGTTTTCTATGATAAATGCAGGCATATCATTGTATTATGTCCATATAATATTTGCTTTCGTTTTTTACGCTTTGTGGGTGTTTGTTGCTTTTGTTATTAATTTTAATTTTTGATTTTTAGCCTAGAGCTTCAAAAATTTGTGTAACCGCCATTTTATATGCACATCACACTTAACAGAACACACGCGTACGCACATACACACCTACACACCTACAGCGGTCATGCTAACCCACATTTCCAAGCTCATAAAAATTCCTTCAAGCAATCATAGCAAACTGTGTTCAACGAAGGCAGATAACATTGCAGGAACATTGAACATAAGAAACATAGCCAAATCCAAACTCAAATGCAGATTTCACGTTCCATGTTCCTTAACAAATCAAGCATGTCGTGGATGCCTAATGTTTTACTTGCTTGGGCATGCCGAAGTGTTGGGTATCATTGGGACAGGCAATTAGCACTTGCTTAAAGATTTGTACATGCGTGGGCTCATACACATGCTCACATATAAGCATGTGTGCAGAATTCATCTTTGTTTATGGGCACATCAGAGAATTTCTTTGAGATTTGATTTAGTTAATTATTTTGATTTCTATACAAGTTGTGTGTTTTGTGCCTTCTTCATTTTAAAATTTCGCAGACTCTTCAGAAAAAATCTCTTTAAGCACTTTTTAAGGATTA